TGAATTAGTGCAGCGGATTAAAACTCGTAAGTTTAAAAATGATTTCGTAAATGCGTAGAGATTTCAATTCGTCAATGACTTGGAGAAAGTAGCTCGAGTAAAGTGAGAAAATGAAAACCAAAAGCTTGCTGCTATGTAACTAATGGTTTCAAAAAGGTAAGAACTCACACATTCAAGGAACGTACCAATTTAAAGTGGTTCGGTCAAAATGACCTACATCCACTTGCGAAGCCTTCTTCAATGAGACTCCCAATTTCCACTAGCAAATCACTTTGAAGAGAAAGGACAAATACCCCTCTTACAACCTTTTTACAAGTGGTTCACACTCTTACAAATTTTTCAAAGAGAAAGAGGGAGGTGAACACTTAAGCTATTGAAAATAAGACTTTTGCTAAAGCTTTTCTCAATTTCTAACTTCCCAAAGGTTGTATTCTCTACTGAGAATTGAGGGATATTTATAGGCCCCAAGGGGATTCAAATTTGGGCTCCAAATTTTGAATTCTCTTGGGTTTCCGAGGTTGGCGGTGCCATCGCCTATCAGTGGCGGTGCCACCGCCTATTAGTGGCGGTGCCACCTCTTGTCAGTGTCCGACACTGACAGTGTACTGGCGGTGCCATCGCCCAGTCCGACGGTACCACCGCCCGATCCTTGGGTTCTAGGCGGTGTCACTGTTCAGTCTAGAGGTGCCACCGCCTGGACTATTCTAACTCACTAGTTGGGCTCCAAACTTGGCCCAAACAAGTTCAAACTCGGGCCCAATTGGCCCTACTTGGGTTATAGGATTAACACATAATCCTAACCCTAATTAACGTGCTAACTACGAATTTAAAGATATTTCCTAAGCTATTACAAAGTCCGCAAGTCAAGACTTGTTCCGACGAGCTTCCGGTGAACTTTCGGCGGTCTTTTGATAAACTCTCGAAAACCATTCTGCGGACTCCCGGCAAGCTCCTAGACTTCACAATTTGATCTTAGCGAGTTCCGACGAGCTTCTTCGGCAAGCTACGATCTTTTTCGGTAAGCTCCGCAAACTTCCGACGTACCTTCCGGCGAGCTTCTGAAAACCCTTCGACAAGCTCCCTACTCATTCTCGGCTAGTTCCAACAACATTCCCGACGAACCTTCGGACTTCCGTCGGACTCTCGAACTCCCAACGAATACTTCGCGCTTGACTCTGGCACTTTATTTCACATTATGTCTTCATCATTATCGTAGTTAATCCTGCACACACAAGTCAAAACTCTACTCCGATCTAGACAATTATTACAATGCGAATTGACATTCTGTTGCCCGGCACGTCATTGGTTGGCGCTTCATCCGATTCTTCAGTGCATCGTCCTCTCTTGCGGCTTGTTGCCCAATCGGTGGTTGACCTACGTAACCCCAATATCCTTGGCACAATTCCACTCTCCTTGGCCCGATGCCCGACGTCCAAAGCCTTCTGTCGTCCAATATCCTTACGTGATCTCCTCCGGCGCAACGTCAATTCCTCCTGCGTCAACTGTCTAATCCCGATCGAGTAGATCTGCATCACTCAAAATGCAGTTAAACATCTAAACATAATCAATTAGTTTAATCATCAAAATCCGAGATTCAATAGCTTTTGGAATCTGACCCAAAACCCACAGGTCAAGTTATCTTCTACATCTGAATAAGGCTCGAGAACTCTAAAGGTGATCTTAAGATTTGCTGAGTTTTTTATTGTGAGGTGTAAAGGTCAATCCTGTGACGACCCTATCATATTTGAAGCAAATACTTGAGAGATTCTCAAAAGCTACCAATTGAAAGAACTAATCTAAAGACCTTCAGGGGAAGAGGGCGAGAAAGGTTCAAAACAATACAAACTCTCGTAAACTTATCGTCAGTTTGTGAGAAAGTTAAGTGATTTTGAGGAATTAACTAATTTTTTAGGCAATCTGATAGAGAATGTTAAGTTGTAACATTTTAAGAGAAAGGTTGGGGAATTGGATCTATATAGAAGTTTTCTTAATTCTCTTAAAGAGGAGTAGGAAGTTTGAGTTCCAAGGGATTAGTGTTATGACTTGCTCTCTGATCTAGGGTCGCTAAGGAGAACATAAAGTTTTTCTTCTCAGAGTTAAAGAAATATAAGAAGTTGATAACTAAGTCAGTGATTTGACATTCCAAGAGTAATAATGCATGTAGCTTGGACAGGAAAGATCTAAGAAATTTTAAGCGAAGAATTTTACCAAGGAACTTATCATAAAGGTATTCCTAAGATCCTCTCGAGTGAAAAAAAAGTTTCATCAGATCAAGCTCAATAGTTAGGGAAGATAAGATTATATGATTGGATTCTCTTGAGCTTGGCCGCCTCAAGGGCAGGGTTTGACCGCAAGCTCTCACACCATGAACTCCGCCCATGAAATGGGGGCCGAAGGCTTTGCTAAGATGAACTGAGGATGGGAGATTATTGAAGGAACAGGGACTTACGAAAGACTGCGGAGAGCAGTGGAGGATTCAGGCTTTGAAGGGGAGAGGTTACCTGGTCAGGATTTAGGAGGGTCGCAGTGCACAAAGGAGGGCGAAGTGGTTGAACATAGGGGTTTGGGAACAGTGGGTTATGCAGGGAGACACGGAGAGTTTTCATCACTGGAAGGAGAAGCAAACCGAAAACCGTACTTCTGGATCAACAGTAATTGCAAGTGTGTGTCTAGTCGATAAGCTTAAGGGTGTTGGACTCGAACTTGGTCGGTCTTCGACGCATGTCTTTATACAAGACTAGTGCTTAGACCGGTACATGTAAAATGATTAGTCCACTTATTAAACAAAAAGTGCAAAGATAAAGCGACCATTGCTTAGAAGCCCCACTAAGAAACAGTCGACACCTTCACGATCACCGCCACCAACTCACTGGCTTCTTTTGAGTCACAAAGTTTCAAAAAGACGGACCGAAAGACTCAAGGCTCCAAAATCCAAACACCAGAGACGTTGGGGGATCTCGGTGGCGATGACTACCCCAACGAACCTCGCTGAGGACCGCCACCACCATCTTCCGTACCCTCCGCTCGACGGCCGCCGGCACCGTCATTACATGGGCCGGCCCATCTCGGCCCCCTCCTCCGCCGCCTCCTTCAGGGGCTGCTGCTGTTGTCTATTCCTCCTGCTCATCTTCGTCGCCCTCCTCGCCGTCGCCGTCGCCCTCGTAGTCGTCCTCGTCCTCAAGCCCAAGAAGCCCCAGTTCGACCTCCAGCAGGTGGCCGTACAGTACCTCCTCGTCGCCCCCACCACCTCCTCCGCTTCACCCACCGTCTCCGCCCTTGGCGGGGCCGCAGTCCGAGGGGCACAGCCGACGGCGGCGTACCTGTCGCTCAACATCACGCTGCTGTTCCTTGCGGACAACCCGAACAAGGTGGGGATCCGGTACGATGCGGCGGCGCTGGACGTGATGTACCGTGGGGTGCCGCTGGGGGTGGCAACGGTGCCGGGGTTCGAACAGCCGGCCCAGAGCCGTCGCTTGGTCCAGACCCGCGTCGTCGTCGACCGCTTCAACGTCATGCAGTCTGATGCCCTCGACCTCGTCCGCGACGCCGCCCTCAACGATCGCGTCGACCTCCGCCTCACCGGCGACGTCGCCGCCAAGATCCTCGTCCTCGGCCTTTCCTCCCCCAGGGTTCAGGTGATCGTCCACCACACCTCCCTGTGCTAACCGGCGCCAGCATAGTCTTGCCCCATTCTTTATTTTTTTCCTTTTTTCTTTCCGAATAAAAAATCATAATAATTGCGGAAAAAAGTTCCACACATATCTAATTAAATTCTGCTTATTTATTCAAATAATTAGGTTTCGGTGGATTGTGCGATCGAGATCAGCCCTAGGAAGCAGTCGCTCACTTACAAGCGGTGTGGAGTCGACGGATTAAATTTCTGAACCGAAAAAAATTTTAAGAGAAAAGTCTTATTTTCCTTTTTTTTCCCCCCTTTTCTTTGCATTTTGATGGAAGTCGTAGTTTATCTGATCGAGTTAGCTTCGGGGCAAAGCAAAGTAGGCATGCCGTCATGGCCAGGGAGGTGCCCAGATGTCCATTTTTCACTCTCCTCCCATTACATCAGCCTTTTGTTTTGTTGGGTCCTCTTGCTCTTGTGGTGGGAGAGGAGGCAGGCAGGACATGAGTACAGCTCTTCCTAACCTTGGTTTGTTTGATGGATTCTGGGTGAAATGTTCTTATTGATGACTGTGAGCAAGTAAAAAAGATGAGGATGGTATCCAACCTACTTACCTACTGTTCTTGGCCACTTATTTTTGTTAAGATCTGGTATCAGGTTGCCCGTTTTCTAGTCCACAACATGGAACTTCAGCAACTCCACTTTTTTACTCTCGGCCTTAGCTACATGACTATCTCAAACATGTGCAGTGCTCCGTTGCTCCTCCTTGATAGGATCGCATTGAACATGGGCCTTTGTCAGACACAGTTGACAACTACATTTGCTGCTTCATCAAGTTACCAAATTTTATTTTAGGCATTGTGCGATTGCATCAGCTGTTATTTCAGGATGTTGGTTGCAAGATTTTATCATGTACCTTTTGCTCTAGCATTATAATTATATTATTGTAGGTTGGTGTTTCAACAAGGAAATAAGAGACATCATATTCCATCTGTTTCCAAATTTTATCTGTCGCATTGTATCATTTAGAAAGATCAGCTTTTAGGGTTTAGGTTGGCTGATAACAACGGATTGTATCATTTACCATTGCGCTATGTCAGACAGTTGACCCCAGCACTATAATCTGTTGCTTGGTGCTTCGACAAGGCAAGAAGTGTCATCAATCATCCACCGGTTACAAAAAATTATCTCGGGGCAATGCATCATTCCATGGCTGATATAGTTTAGGAAGGTCAGCTTTTTTGGTTTTCTCATCCCTGGGCAATCTCAGATGTTCGTATAGCTTGGAGAAGCTCAACTATGTTTAACCATGTATTAAGCATTTTTTTGGCAGTAAGGAGTCTGATAAGTGGTAGTTCTTTGGTGGACATATGGAATTTACACAAGGATGGCTTCTTTCTTTTTTTCATAAATAGTTTCTCTTTCTCTTCTTAAGTTTTATTTTCTTAGCATAATGACACGCTAAGGTTGCTGAGTGTCCATACCGATTCAATTGTTGTTCCATTTTCAGTTGAAAAGTTGCGCGGTCAATTAGCTGCGATAATTTTTTTTGGATATATATCATTTCAAAGTTTTAATTATCTAAAATGCTCCTAATGTTATTTTATTCATAATAGGTACTTAGAGAGTAGTATCATTCAGAGTTTCAATCAACAATCAAATTCTAGAAGTAAAAAAGACACGTAATTTAAATGGTTAACTAAGAAATCATTTGTCTTGGGCAACATATGTGCAATTTGGCTAAAGAGAAAAAAGAAAGGGAATAGGGACCTTTAATTTTGGCTACCGATCCTTAAACAAAAGTACTATGCCTCCATCATCATCTGACAATTTCTCTTACAACACGGCCACGCTATAAAAGATCATCATTTGACTTCCAATTATAGTCTTTTTGGGTAAGCATAACACGTAGCAATTTTAATTGTGAAAGGTAAAATTAAATTAAAATCTCATGGTATATATTTTTTTTTGTTAAGTAAAAAGTAAATTCATTATTTGTAAAGTTTCTATAAATAGTTTTATCTATATAAGTCATAGACAAAGCCAAGTAACTCATAGAGTGCAAATGCGATAGTTATAACTACATACTGTAGACTATAACTTCTAACTATAGCCAACAAATAAAATGTATATCTAGATATGTCAAGACTATGTGTGGGTACAGTATTTAACATCATTCCAAGATCTTTAGCTAATAGCAAAATTAAATTTGATAAATATATCTTTTTCTCTTTGGATAAAGTATTTTATTTTGAGATCGTGCTCCATACAGGATCTTGAGTCTCTAATAATCTCTTTTAAGAACTGAGCATTATTTGTATGTTGACATTCAAAGATTCTGTTACATCTCTCCTTCCACATCCACCAAATAGCGCATCTGAAAGTAATCTTTGTTAGTTGTGTGAGATGCCCTTTTCTTGAGAAACATTGCATGAGGTTGCCTAGTTCTTGATGCCATGTCCAATTGCATGGGATCCACTTGTTATTTCTTTGCCTAATTTGATTCCATACGGATGTGGTACTAAATTTGCCATTGTCATGAGGCCAAATAAGTATATCTGAAGAGTTGTTTCTGATTGGAATAGTTGTGATAGTCGACCAAAGTGATAATATTTCGGGAGAAATAGGATTAGGGAGACACCAAGTACCATTAGCAATGAACTCGGAAACCTTTCAATCTTTGTGAGCCCCAAGGTCTTTTCGTATTCTATCAAGATATAATTGAAATATACTCTTCCCATTCACCCAAGGATCGTACCACATATTAGTACTAGTTCTAGAAGAGATTGCATAAGAAATGTATTTGATTAGCTAATTTCTTGCCTTTAAAATTCTTTTCCAAGCTACAGAGTGGTATGTTCTTGTTGAAATTTCCCAGATTGATTCTTTTGAAAGATACCTAGCAGAAACCTAATGTGACCATAAGGAACATTTGTTTTTTAAAAGATCCCACAATTGCTGTACCAGATATGCTTTATTCCAATCTCTAATATTTCTCAAGTTTAGCCCCTCTTCATTTTTCAGTTTGCAGATGTTATCCCAATTTACCATATGCATTGCCTTATCATTTGTGCCATTCCAGAAGAAGTTCATTAATAACCATTCAATATCTTGGAGAAGTCCAATAGGTAAAAGAAAAATGCATTACACCAATATATAGAGTAAGTGTACAATATCGAATTGATGAGTTCAAGTCGTCCGGCTTTTGATAGAAGCCTATTTTTTCAAGAAGAAATTCTATTCTTTATTTTTTGCAAGATAGGCTGACAGTGGGTTTTGTGAATGCCAGTGGATATGAGTGGGAGACCCAGATAAGAAACTGATACGCTTCCCTCACTAACCCCCCAGAGTGTGTGTAATAAAGTCTTTATCCTCAATGTAAGGACTCATATACTTTACTTTTCGCATGATTTAATTGAAGTCCGAAAACCATACCAAAGTCGTTTATAATAGTAGCCAGGTTTTTTACTAAAGTTGGATAATTTTAGAGAAAGATAAATAAATCATCTGCAAAAGTTATGTGTGATATATGAATTGAGCCAGTATTGGGTACCTTAATGCTGCCATTCGAGACTACATATTCCAACATACAACTAAGTCCCTCTATCGCAATAGTAAAGAGATACGGAGAAAGTGGATCACCTTGTCGAATGCCATTCGTGCTCCCAAAAAAACCAATAAGTGAGTCATTAAAGAGTATCGAAAACTTTGGAGTTTCAAGCAACATTGAATCCAATTAACCCATTGCTGTGGGAAGTTCATATCGAGGAGCATCTTATAGATAAATTTCCTATTAATTGAATCAAAGGCTTTCCGCAAATCAGCTTTAAAACATATTTTTGTCCCTCTTGCTTTTGAGTGTAGATCTTTGACTAAGTCATTAGCAAGCAGAATATTATGATATATACTTCTCCCTTTGATGAAAGCAGCTTGATTAAGGCTAATGATCTTGTGTATTACCTTTTACATTCTATTTGTCAACACTTTGGAGATGATCTTGTAAATAAAGTTGCATAATAATATGGGTCTATAGTTCTATAGTGAATCAGCCCCTGCACTCTTTGGAATTAAAGAAATAAAAGTGCAATTCATCTCTCTAAGAATACGACCTGAAGAGAAAAAATGTTGGCAAGACTTAATCACATCATTTCCAATAATAGACCAAGCAGTTTGGTAAAATTCAACTGGAAATCCATATGGACCAGGGCTTTTGTGCTTTGGTGACTTAAAGATAACTCGTACAATTTCGTCATCTGTAATTGGGGCATTGAGGATTGAAATGGTATCCAAATCAAGTTTTCTAGTTAGCTACACATGAATGTTATTAGGTTTCCCAACTTGATTAAGGAATAAAAAAATTACTCAGTGTGTGCTTTAACCTCATCTAAATTCTCAATAAGATTATCATCTTTGTCTTTGCATTTCCTAATATGGTTAATGGCCCTTCGAGTAGCAATAGAAGCATAGAAAAATTTAGTATTAGAATCCCCTAGTGTAACCAATGCTGTTGAGATTCTGCTTTGCAAAACTTTCCTCCTGTTTTAAGGCTTGCGTGAAGTTATTTCTGGCTTCTATCTCTTTATAGATAATATTCTCATTATGGGGCTGAAGTTGCAGCTCATGTTGCAATGACATTAGTTCTTTTATTCAAAATTGAACTCTGGTGGTAATATTGCCAAAGGTGTTTGTATTTCACTCCTTAAGTGCTACTTTACAGGTTTTGAGCTTTTGACATAAGATGTAAGGGGAGATCCATGCACATTAACATTCCAAGCAGATCTGATAACATCAAGGAAATGAGGATAAGTACTCAACATGTTAAAGAATCTAAACGGTTTCTTGCCTCTTAGTGTCGCTTTGTCTACGTGTATGTACATTAAAGAATGATGTGAAAATAATGGAGTACCATACTCAAGAAGTGAATCTAGGTAAATTGTTAACCATTCCTGATTAATCAAACACCTATCAAGTCGAGCCATTATTTTTCTGTTAGCAGCACCTTGATTACTCCAAGAGAGCCAATTACCCACAGATTCATATCAATCAATGCAGCAATATCTATGTAATCATTAAAATTTTGAAGCTGGCTTTCTGAAAGTTGTCTACCCCCCACTTGTTCATTTGTGTACCGAATAGTATTAAAATCTCCAAGAACAATCCAAGGTACATTGGGACAACCATTTGCAATATTAGTCATATCAGACCAAAGAGTATTTCTTTCTTACATACTGTTTGAAGCATTTATACCAGTGAAACTGAATTGACAACCAATCTTTTTGTCTTCCACTTTAAGATGGATGAATTGATTAGTAGCAGAAATAAACCAGGCATTAATAGAGTTAGGATGCAATAAGACCCAAATTCTACCAAAAGTTTCATTAGAGTCATTGGTAAACTGTTCTGCGTCCGGCCATATTAAATTCTTTTGAGCTTGAACGCGCGATTGTTTAATTTTCGTTTCCACTAGAATAATAACATCACATGCGGCAGACTTGATTATTTTGTTGAGCTCCCAGCATTTCTCAAGCTTATGTATGTATGTATGTATACATACATACATACATACATATATATGTATACATACATACATATGTATGTATATATATATATACATACA